CAACCAATCTCAATTGAAGAAAATATTGAAGATGTTGAAAGGATAGAGAAAGGTATATACTTCTAACTGTTTACTCAAATGATCTGTTTACTTATTTACTTATTTGATTTGTGATTACTTATTTACAATTTACTTATTGAATTTCCATTTTGTTTTTGTACTGCAGAGTTGTGCTGCACATCCAGCACTGGAACTGGAATGCCTACAATTGTTGTATGTTTACTTATTTACTTATTTGATTTGTGATTACTTATTTACTTATTTGATTTCATGATAAATTTATGCCTCTATATGACTGTATCAGTGTATCATGTATGTGTATCAATGATTCAAATCAATGTCCCAAGTGAGGCTGGGAAGTTGGAACTGGAAACTGGAAAGTGCTCATGGCTAGGTAACATTTTAAATGTTGCTGCCATTGAGCTCAGGTATCAGTATAAATAGTTAAATACTGACTAAATGTCTAAATCTTCTGAGTTCTGACTCACTATACTTATAAGTTATACACTTATACCTGTATAAATGTTCTTTATTGTGCTATGATGATGCTTCCACCAGGTTCTCTGAATATATAGAATTGGGTTTGGTATGTTGCCTATGAAGTGTGGTGTATGCCATACTCACTGAGTAGTGTTCCCCCAATCCTAAATTGATATGGAAAAAAAAAGTATTTGAGCACTCATTGAGTCTTTGCTATTTAAATATAATTCATTAGTTGTCTAAGCATAAGTATTATTCTGCTATGATGATGCTTCCACCATTTCTCTGAATATATAGAATTGGGTTTGGTATGTTGCCTTTGAAGTGTGGTGTTTATGCCATACTCATTGAGTAGTGTGCCCCCAATCCTAACTTGATATGGAAAAAAAGCTATCTGAGCACTCTTAGAGTCTTAGTCTTTTACAGTTTCAGTTTGTGTGATTGTCAATTCTAACTAACTACAAATGTTTTGAACTTATTGTGTTTTTATGTGTTCACTTATCAGGAAGAAGAATAGACATAGAGTACTCTATATTATATTAATCATATATTCATATATTGCTTTTGGAGTTTTGGATATCTCTGGCTTTCTTTTGCTGATGTGCTGACTGCTGATTTGAGAGTGGAGACTGATGCAGTGCTGCTGTTGCAACTTGCCTGCTTGGAGTGCTTGCTATGAACAATTATAATTCTCTTTAATTTTGTAACTTCTAACTTTCTAAGTTGTAACTAATCTGTTGAATGTAGATTATATGTAAGCTAATTTGTATTTTGCTCATTATATGTTTACACTTTTATAAGTTTACTTATGTTATTTACTTAATTTTGTTGTTAAGTAGTTAGTAATTACTAGTTAGTGGCTTTTAGTACTTAAGTAGTTCATTAGTTAGGTACTTAGGTGTTCCATCATCCATGAATAATTGAATTTTTAAATTTTTTACATTCTCATAAAACCGATTTACAACTCGGATATCCGACCGATCCGAACCAATCCGAAAATAACTATAACCGATCGGATTGGTCAACAAAAAAAAAAACGGTTAGGGTGACCAAAAGACAAATCCGAAATCCGGCCGGGGGACCCATTCCGCAATCCGAACCGTCCGATCCGTCCGACTGCATAGCCCTACATTTAGTACACAAATAATGTACTTTTAATATATCAAAAATATTCTTTTTTATAATCCATATAACATTATGCAAATCATGGTGGACATAAAAATTTGTCATTCTAAATGATTGGGCTTATCTTGTATTGGGCCCACTACTTTCAATATAATTAGGACCCAAATCAGCAATAGGAAACGGTCTAGTAGTATTCTTTGTAGGGCTCTTAGCTCAAAACATGTATAAATAGCTCTCCATATATGATGCAATATTCAGCGGTACAATATTTATTTCGCAAATTATGTCCTGGAAACGTGTTGGTGAACACAAGTCCAAACAACGTCGTTTTTACGCGAAAAAAAAAATAAATTAGCTAATGTGCTGTTAACGCGCGCGTTTGATCAAATTATGAATTTTCTGTTATGAGATTATGAATGTAATGTAAATTCATAATCTCATAACAGAAAATTCATAATCTCATAACAGAAAATTCATAATCGCATAAAAGTAAAATATTTATTAAATTATGAATTTTCTGTGTAATGTAAATTCATAATCTCATAACAGAAAATTCATAATTTCATAACAGAAAATTCATAATTTCATAAGAGAAAATTCATAATCTCATAACAGAAAATTCATAATCTCATAACTGAAAATTCATAATCTTATAACAGAAAATTCATAATTTCATGGTTCAAGTGAATGTGTAGGCATGCATGGTTCCAAAGTGAATGTGCTGGAATGTATAGGCATGGTTCCAAAGTGAATGTGCAGGCATGAATGCATAATTTATGAATGTCCGAAATCATTGCTCACCTCAAATTAAAGTGAAACCGCGAAATGTGAAAGTGAAGAAGAAAAAAAAAAAGATAACGGTGTACTAACACTGTTGGAACCGTGTTCACCATCGATTGTATTTATTCTCTCTAATTAAATTTCTTTTACAACTTTATATATATATATATATATATATATATATATATATATAAAAGTAATTTAAATATTGTTATTTAAAAATAAATAAAATAATAAGTATTATTATTAGTACGTACTCATTTGGATAGTGAATGTAGTCATACCACGTGTACACACAAATATATATAGAGAGAGGGGGGTATGATCGATGATCAAATTGGATGATTGATGCAATTAAACACATACTCAACATCAAATATTTTTTCAATGTAAATAATAATACTGAATATGGATGGCAAACCACTGAAACCAAGCAGTATGTATGTATGGTAAGTAGTTTTGCTGTCCAGTTATCACTAATAGAAGAGATAATTATTATTATTATTATATTGAGGAAGCTAAGGCATTAATAAAGGGTGGGTGAATGTGGGTGCATTAATAATCCTTCTCCGATCCTTCCATCACCTTGTCATTAAGAAGCTTTACAAAACCACTTTTCACATTTGTGGCTTGGAACCTTCTTCCATACTCAACACACCCGCAGGTGTCAACAAACTTTGAATTTGGAGCTTCTCCATCAATGTAACCAATAATAACAGGGTCAATGGCACCTCCTCTCCTCCACGAAGCACCATGCTGTAAACTCGAAAAGCTTAACACTTGTGATTCATCATCAGCCTTAACCCTGGGTTCGACTGAAACAGGAATCACCAGTGCAGTTGCCATATAGAGTCCTAAAACACAAAGTTGTGGACAAGTCTCAATAGGGCAAATCAAATGAATTGTTTGGTCAAAAAACACAGCTGTTGTGTTTGGGAAATCACCACCAAGCAACCACAAGAAAAAGCTACACGAAACTGGATGGGTTGCCATTGCCATTGACCCCTCCGAGCCTGAGCTAACCACTAAAACATCCGAGTCTCCCCATAATTCCTTTCTGGATTTCCTCCACCTTGAATACAAAAGTTTAATCCTAAGCTGATATTTCTTCATTTCTTCTTCTTCTTCATTAGTCCCTGCAGACTCACCTAAAGACATATCAATAATATTCTTCATTTCCTTAATGAGAGAAGATTGTTTATTATAATTGAATCCCAACTTGTCCATGGCCTCCCTTGCGTTACATTCTAGTAGCATATAAGTAGCCAAAAGAATATCATATTTATAATCACTTGCATCAGCAGTATCCTCACCAATACCAATCAGCTTCCGCACCCCGGGATCCACATCCACAGTCTTGTACTCGGAAGAACACTTAAAATCATTCAAAATTTTGGATTTGATAAGCATTGGCCAGTCAACATATCCAACCCTAACAGTTAATAAACTCCCGCACCAACTAAGACGCCTTATACTCTTCATAATAATCTCATCCAACTTGGAAACCCCGGCGGCCCCTTCATCATCAAGTTCCACTGAGACGCGAATATTCATGGCGTAGCATCTCAAAGTATGCAGCCCAGAGAAGGTCTCCTGGGTACACAGAAAGAAAATGGAGGATGGGGTGAACACCGCCGTGGTTCCCGCGACATCTTCGCCCAACAGCCATAAGAAAAAGTTCCGGGATAATAAATCCCAGGAGGCCTGCGCATTCGCCGGCGTGCTCACCACTATGATATCGGAGAATCCCCAAAGGTGGTGTTCATCGCTGCTTCTCCAGCAACAGTAGAAATCGCTCAACCGCTCCCTGAATAGCTCTCCTGTGATCATTGCTATGCAGCCGCAACAAAAACTCACTATATATGAAAAAGAAGAGTAGAGAAACTCACTATATATGAAAAAGAAGAGTAGAGTGGAGCAATAATGTGGTTGTGAAATGTGTGCTTCTCCGTTCAATCCGTGAAATTAAAGGGGACGATAGCAGAGACAGATCATTGTCTTCCTCCTCAAGTAGGACTCTATTTGTTTATTATTTTTGAAAATACAGTACCGGTTATATTTTTCAATATTTACGGGATAATTTCCGTAATTAAAAAATAAAATAAAATGTGTTTTGAAAGGAAGGAAAATATTTTTTGTTCCTCATCAATTTTTCCTCTTACTCCATGTTTGATTTTTGATTCACGAAATAAATTTTAAGGGATAAAAATATATTATTCCATAAAGAATATAATAGACAATGAATAAAATAAAAACTATGTGTTTACCGAAAAAATACACCTTAATAATGTTATTTCAGTGTTTTGTTTAAGAGTAAATACAGCTTAAATGGGCTAAATATTAAGTTTAAGAGTCATACTACATGCCTCTAATATTTTTGCTCCAATTCATCCTTCATGACATGATAACATTTAATTTAATTGATAACTAAATACTATATTTAATTAGTGGTGCATGGGTTACAAAAATTCAGAAGGGAATAAAGCATTTTTCTAAGTTTAATATTATAACAAAACAACTAATTATGCATAATTTATTATTTAAAAAATAAAGAATAGATATTTAGATAATAACCAAAGTGAAAGAAGAGTAAGGTTAGGTAGAGTGAATTCAAGAAATGGTGAATAAAGAGCGCAGTAGCATTATATTGTACAGTGGATTTAATTTGTAGTGTTCAGCAACTTAGAACTAACAACTGATATTTGTTTTCCGATATTATACCCAAAAAATGCATACAATTAAAGAATTCTCTTCCATCATATTCTCTCCTCTCCTCTCCCCAAAATCTCAGAGTGAAGCTCTCAGCCTCTCTCACTCTCCCTGCCTCTTTTCCCTTCAGTTTTTGAATTAACAACTCAGCCAGAAAATAGTATTAAAAAGAAAATTAATCTCTGCGACTTCTCTTCTTCAGTTTGTCCTGCACACGATACCTATCTCGACGTTCTTCTCTCTGCCGCTTCTTCGACACTAGTTCTTCCTTGGCCTTCTCCGCTTCAGCTGCTTTCTTCCTTTCTTGGTCTTTGAGTTTACGCTTTTTAACCTACAAATCACAACCACCATCCAAAACTGGAATAAGTAGCTAGCTAATACAGATTTTCATGAATAGGAGCATGGAGAAAACCGCCGATATGGATTAGAAATACAATCCTCGAGACATCACCAAATCGGTACCCTCCAAGAGGCTTGGCTTAGTGGGCAACAAAGTTACACAGATCAGTAAATAAATACTTACCTTCTCACTCCTAATAAGCCGGAGATGTTGAAGAACACGTTGCAGTTTCTTCTCATTAGGTTCCATCACAACTGCCCTCCTATTTTCCAGAGTAGGCCTCCTCCGAGATGGAGTATCCTTTGGTTTTGAGGAGAAGGGGAGAGCTGCTTGCAATGACTTGGGAATAACCAAGGGATTGAACTTTCTTGGTTTTCTTTCGATTGCCTGTAACGTTAGTTGAATGAAACAAATTAAAGAAAGGGGAAATATGAAATTAAGCACAAAGATAATTATATTGGGGTGAAGGAACAAAACAAAATCCATACATCCTTAATTAGCTTGTTGAATGACTGACATGATGATACCATACCTTATACAACGAGTCCTTGTTCACTGGAACAGGCACATTATGTTCTCTCCTTAACTCGGAAACTGTTTTCATTCCTTGCCAGGTCTTACCACGTGGCTGCAATGCAGTAGTCAATGGATTGTAAAACTGAGGAACTTCAACTTGAGTCCAAGCACGCAAGAAAACAATGTCACTCATCAGAATCCTATCTTCAAATGTGCACCTAGCGATGCCTTCTTTGGCAAGTCCGCCCTTCTTCTTGGCCTGGTTACCAATCTCTTCTCCAGCAGCCTATTTTATATTTATTTGGAAAATACAAATAAAACAGGTAATATCCATCAGTTCTTCTGAGGTAGCAATCACAGTTGTTTGCAGCATATATGCATGAACAAATAAACAAACTTAAACAGGCTCCCATGCAAAGGAATTGAAGATAGAATATGTACAATGCCCTTAACTGGTGAAAATACCTAATAGATGAGATGAGAAAATACCTTTTTCACCTGCCCACGGATTCCACTAACAGTTCGAATAGCGGCACCTTCAAACCTGGCTATTTCAAGATCTGAAGTGAACATATCCTTAATAAGAGCAGTCTTCTTGAAGATTTTACATGGGTGACCAACTAGCTTAATCTTTTTCACTATACGTGCAGCATGATTGAACTCTAGCACAGTTGCAGTTGCTGTAATCCTGAATTCTGCCTGAACAACAGCATAGTAACAGTAACATTGAGTAAGCTATAAAACATCTAGACAGCATATGAAACTAGTTCGCTACAACACAGCATGGTCATAGTTAAGGAAAAACACGACTCAGGTCTCAATTCTGTAAGGAAATGGTATGGTTCCAAGTTCCATTGAACGCATACTCATGAAGGAGTCAATAACATATTACTTAAATTTCATTAACAAGACGCTACATTTCTCTCTGAATTAGACTGCCATGTGATATACAATTGTTTCAGCATTTTCAATTGGATTGAAATACTATCAAATTAAAGGAAGATGTTCTGAAAACCCAATAATCATGATACACATGGCCAGGAGTGCAAACAATTCCAAACAATAAATTGTACCCAGAAGTGAACTACAATTCTAAAAATATATGATACTTGCTGATAAAGTTACAGGATTGACAGAAGGGTAGAAGTGCTCCTGTGATGCTATTGAAATATTGAGAAGATTCACTGTCATCTAAGAAAATACCATCACTCGGTAAGGACGTTGAGAGAGGGATCACATGCACAAGCAGATGAACTCAAAACGAAATTAAACAATTAAATACAATGGAAAACTATGACATCTTTTCCTAAGCTAGTTATGCAACAGAAGTAAAGGAGACACAGGCTAGCTGACAGAATACCTGATTATTTGATAAATTCTGGACAGCAATCATTCCAGTGCGTGGTGGTGCCAGAGGACCCCAAAACATGGCAAGGCAATGCATATGTTCAGGTGTGTACTTAAGCATCCGGTAGCGACCATTAAGGTCCTCAATAGCATAAATTGGAGTAGTTTGGTAACGCCTCCATCCAATAGAAACAATAATTGGATCTCTAGTCTTCAGTACTTTCTTGTGCCATCGGTGCCTCTTTAATCGGACCTATAAGGAAAAACAGTTTCTCATACATATGTTCCAATGCAGCTAAAAACAAGCCATTTAACAGAACAATTAACAGAACCCAATATCTGTTTAGCATATCACATCTCCATCATTTAAGAATAAATTTTGAGTAAAGTTGCAAAGTCCACAATTCAATGAACACAGATGAAAGAAACCAACAGAATGTTCTTTTTGTTTTTCCTGGGTGTAATTGGGGAAGGGTCAAGGAGAAAGTCGTTAAAAAGTATAGTATACAAATGAGTGAATGACACCTGCAATGGAAGAATCAGAAGACTAATGCCTCAAAGACAATTGGCAAGAGCTTGATAAAGTGATCTAACCTGCATGTATCCAACATTTTCTTCACCAAGAGCAAGCCCTCCAACTAGAACTGGATGACAAGGATCGAAATATTCAACCATCTCAAAGGGAACATCATGGACTTCAAGCCTAACATACATCCCTGTTCTGAAACCTTCTATTTCTATCCGTGTGGCATCATCAAGTTCATTAAGTTCAGCTAAATTTTGTTGTTTGCGAAGTTCAATCTCATCCTTCAACTGTAAAGAAACAGCACAAGTAAGTGATTGCAAGCCCTCCATTATTTACGCAATTCTGTTAGTGAGAAAAGCACACCTTATCAAAGTATCCACTTCCACTGGCTTGACCTCGAGAGTCAGCGCCAGGTTTATTATCATTGCCCTCATCAGCAGATTCCGAATCATTATATGTATGCTTCAGTTAAGTCCACAATTTCATAAGCGATCAAAAAGCATGCATAAGATGCTGGAAAGATTAAGCTCACAGATGATTAGCAATAACAAATTTCCTTGAAACAGAATCATAATTGCTGTAAGAAAGCACAATAATGCCATTAACTATGAATGAAGTGGGAATTCATAGAATAATGAGGACTATGAATTCTATTTCATGTGAAGGATATTGAGCATCAAATTTGGCACGAAGAGCCAACTTTTTGAGCTTTCGTTCCTCAGCTGCCAAAGCTTCATCACTTTTAGCAGAAGCATCATTTCTCTGTTGGCTCTGATATTTTTGCCCTGTTTCCAAGTCTTCAAAATCACCAAATACATCATCATCATCACCATCACCATCATTGTCATCACTAACAGCATCCGTGGATACACCTGCAGCAGTGGCCTTCGACCAACCTTTAGTGACAAAACGATTGCGAATGCCCTCAATCAAATTTTCATCCTTCCAGTTTTTTTCACTTGCATGGCTGAGGAATTTAGAGCAGTCCTCAGCATCTTGATTATCATCATATAAGACATCTTTTCCTTTCTGAATAAATTAGAAAACAGACAGCAATTAGCAAGGCAATAAAACAAGGGAGAAAAAGTGACTACCTGCCCCCAGAAAAGAAAAAATGTAATTGGCAAATAATAAATTGAATGAACAATACTAGTTTCATTTCAACACATGCCTTCTTTCCTTCCCCTTTTGGCTTGAAGAATTCATCATCGTCACTTTCATCATCTTCACTAATCTGTTCCATCTCAGAAGCAGTTGTTGACTTTGATGCAGCTTTCCCATATACAAGTTGCATAAGATTAAGACTCTGCCTTGAATGAGCCCGTTCTGCTAATGACTCTTTCCATCTTGAAGCATTTCCTAACTCAACTCCTATTATTAAAAATATATATTTTAAAAAATCTTAAATATGGAATGTAAAAGTTATGGGCTACAAGGTGTGGGAAACTTTTTTTGTGCAAAATTTGCCACTTCCTATGTATCGTATTCCTTAAAGATTCCAATAAAGCATCCGCAAACAAAAATGCAATTGTCAATTGACATAAAGAATGAAAGAAATATAATGCGTGTGGAGGGTAAGAGAAACACACCATCTCTATGTTCTGATGAGTTTTCAGCAGCTACATCAGGTTCAGATTCTTCTTCCTCATCAGAATTATCTGAATCATCACCTTCCACCTCTTCATCTAGTTCTTCACTATCTTCATCATTATCCTGAATCAGCAAAAAGACCACTATGAATATTAAATACAAAAGAAGTGCAACTAAATAAATATACATGTTCAAATATGGCATCAATGCAATTCTTATGCAATCAATTAATCATACTCTAATCTATCATAAATCAGTGAAAAGGGATTTAGTATAAGATAGAACTCAAAATTTCACTCTCCAACTAATATTATCAAAGGAGGAGGCAATTTTGATGTGATTCTTATGCAGACCTGTTTTAATATCTCAAAAACATAGTAAAGAAATTTGGAAAAAATAAATAAATAAATAAATAATTGACAAGATAAAGTAAAACTGCTTTTACTAACAAACAGGTTTAATAGAAATACCTCCGCATCATCAAGGTCATTGTCATTGTCAAAGATAGCTTTTCTCCTCATCCTTCCATCATGGAAATCGACTTGCTCTCTAAAACCATTATTAGATGTGGTCCCTTGCTCTGACCTAATATCATTTTCTTCATCAGAAACATCATCAGAGTGATCTCTCTCCCCATCTGAAGACTCTGAGTCATCCATGTTATCAATATCAGTTTCTTGGTCTGGTAAATCTTTAGCTTCCAACTGGGACACTGATGATGTGTTGGGCTTTTTGCCAAAGAGAGAGATAAAACTCTGTTCCAACTTCTCATCAATTGAATATTTAGTATTCTGAAGTGATTTAACTAAAACCTCCCCAACATCATGGTTCTTCTCTGCTCATAAGAATAGTAAAAATTAGGATTAAAATTAAAAAAGCTAAAAAATAAAAATTATGAATAAAAGAGTAATTCAATTTCATGATTAATTATAATGCCAAAAGATTAAGTTAAAAAATAAAAAATAAAAAAATAATAAAAAAGAAAAAATATAAATATATTGCCAAGCACACAAATAGATGGTTCAACATAAAAGAGAAAAGAGTAAGATTTAACCCCTCTGCTTCCCAACTAAAGATAATGTCTGCAGATCATCACAAGGCCCAATCATTAATAAGAACAATAAATTTAGTTATGGGGTATCAGTGTCATTTGGCAAAACTGATGCTGACAAAATTAAGAGAGAATCAAAAGCCCTGTAAGTTTAGAATTGAGTAAAAACGTTTCTGATCTCACCAGCATTTGCATCATCTGCTTTAGAGAACTGAACAAAGTGATCATTTATGTTAATGTACACAGCATCCTTATCATAAAGAAGGTCTCCAAGTCCAGACATAGGTGCATAAAACAACTTTTCCTTGTCCCTTAAGCCCTTCTTCTTAGCTGCTGATGGTAGTGGGCATGGATCGGCTAGAGCTGTAACACCAGCCAAATTGAAATCACCAACCCCAGCAATATGCACCTGATTATATTGTAGGTTAATCAGAAATTCAGGATAAGTAAGCGTGTGTGTGTGTGTGGAGAGAGAGATGAATAATATGGAGTATTATTATATCTTTTCAAAATCCAGGTAACAATTTGTTGGCCTCAGTACTTTAGACCAAGCTTGTTATACTACCATAAACCAAGCAATTATAACAAATCTTCTATGAGGGAAAGAAATCAACTATCTTCAGTCTTCTTGTGTCACACAAATATGTCATCTGATCTATTAATTCACACAAAAGCCCATGTCAAACAATACTTAAACCAAGAATACCTTCAAGCCCATCACACAAGAATACCAGACTGTTGGCAACTCTAAAGACAACTTCAGGCATCAAAAATCATCCAATATTCACATAAAAAATTACTACAGTTCTCAGCAATGAATTATACAAAATATAAAACAGGTTTCACAAACCTTTGCTCCCTTCTTCAGATTACAACCACGTAAATATCCATACAAAGTAACATTCCTGTCGCACTTATTATTCATTTCCACTTTTTCCGGAGGAGTTACATCTTCAAAACGGTCTACCATGATGTAAGGATGGGACATTCGCCATGACAGTGGAGGAAACTTCATAACAGAAATAAACCTTGCAAGGTTATGTACTTCACGTTTGGCATACCTGTTCAATGATTAAAGCAATTTTAGAACATATAATTTAGCAACAATCAGAGTCCTAGTTAACCATTCAAAGACTTACTTTCCATGAATAAGACCAGATAAATAGAACAATTTAGCTCCATCGTATATCTCTGTCCAGAATCGATGCTTTAATCTTTGCTTTGTTTTCTTAAGTTTCTTCACATCTTTGAATTTGTCCAAGTGAGTGAGAACACCCATAACTTTAGGGAACCCATGATTTTGCAATATATTAAGGAACTCAAAAGTTTCCTGCAAAATAAATCAATATAACAAACTGATGCACTTCTGAAGTAGTTGTATGTTAATCTTAGCACATTAAGGAACAGTACATATCTATCAGATAAACCAACTTTCATTTTTTCAGATAATGGAATAATGGATATTTAAGCATAAATACGCATGTGGGAAGAATATATCAACCAATTTGGCAGAAAAAAGAATGAGAACTCCCTCTATTTCAATTAAAGTAACTTGAACATCCATTTCTAGCAAACATGTTCAACAAAGTGACCAATAGCAAAAGCTTTCCCAAAACAAACTCCCTCTATTTCAAACTGGATGATTTGCTTCATAGGTTTTTGAACTATCTTATTCTCTGAAATGGAAACTTCAATTCCTTTGCATACACCTCTTACCTCTAGAAGATCAGACACACTTTTATAGCATTTTAAACACCAAGATGATACTCTGAAACTCATAAGTCAGACACACTTTAATAGCATTTTAAAAGGCCAAGATGTTAGTCTGAAACTCATAAGTCAATAGTTTCCACCTAATAGTAGTCAAAAAGGTAAACAGGACTAAAATTCAATGGAACCGAGATAAGAGTAAGAAGAAAGGAGCTCATAAAGTAGAGCAACACCTCTAGCCACAGACAACTAGAAATAAATGAATGCTTAATAAGTATAAATGCCTTCAAAATCAATTGTAACTATTTATAAATGACATCCTCCAAACCTCAAATTTAGCTTCTAGAAATTCCCTTATGTTAAGAGAATGCAAAGAAAGCTCACCATTTCAAATCCATAGCTTCCATCAATGAGAAGCAATGCTAAATCAGCAAACTTTGCAACATCAATCATGCCATTGATATCATTTGGGCACTCCACAAACTGCAAACGCCTTTGCTTTCCTACAGTATTAAAATTTAGCTATGAATCATTAACCATCCCCAATAAACTAAAGCAGACCCAAACACCAAAAAGTTGAGAGGAAGGATAAGAGGATTGGGCCAATACTTCCTGTACACATCATAAATCAACTACCACTTCTTTTCTGGAAGATAATTTATCTCTCTCCACAAGTAAACAAAATATCAAAGTATTTACAAATGGCAATAGGGAAATAAAACACAAAGCCCACAGAACAATCAAGAATTTCAAGAGACCTCAACCCTTTTATTCTGAATCTCTAACATAAAAACCAGCAGAAATAATGAAGAAAAGGCTTTTACTTGGTATGCTTATTTTTTCAGTATAACCAACTGTTTTCTTAAATCTTAATACACAAAGAAAACAGTGCTTAATTGCATGTTTCTTTCATTTATTTCATCTTCCAACTCTAGAACCAAGACCAAGTTAGCTAATCCAAGCAAGCACATCAAACCTGATACAATAGTAATAGGACCACGAACTTCAGGTAAATTATGCTTTGTGTAGTGCTTGACAAGAGTCTTTATAAGCAGCGATTTTCCGACCTGCAAAAAATTAATAATCAACTTAGAACTTTCAAATCCATAAGAACCAAAAGGCATACATACTAACATACCATCTAAAATACATATATAGTATATATCAACCTTGGGCGGTCCCTGGACTACAACAACAAAGGGAGCTGGCTCCCCGGTGGAGCGGTCAATTGTCGGGACATGAAGCCTCCGCTGCTCCTTCTCGGTAGCTCGGGATTGCAGCCGCTTGGCTTTTACTGTTGAAGTGAATGCAAACGCCTGAAGATTCATTACAAATAAGTACCCCAAAAAACAAAACTTATAGTTTTGGAACATTAGGGATAGCATACAAAATGATGTATATACACAAACAGAAATCCGCTCTGAAGACAGAGAATGTAAAAAATAGAAACGGAAAGAAATTGGGGAACCTTAGGATTTTTTTGTTTTTGACTTTCGTCAATGGACTTCGATTTCTTCTTAGCTGAGGAGCCAGACTGCCGCTTCCTGTGCGACTTGTGCGACTGCTCCTTACTGCCTTCAACCGCCATAGCTAGTTTTCAAAGGGAGACGGATTCCAGAGGGCGAGGCGAAGTTTTTTAGAGTGAGTTCATGAAGGCTGTTGTTGAAGCTGATGATTATGGAGGTTAATGGGGGGTGAGGAGGCGAAAGCCAGCGGCGGGATTATGGCGCCGGTGACCTGCGTTTTGTGTTATGTGAAGAAACGATTATATTTCGTTTTGGGCCAATCTTTTCTTAGGCCGTAGTTGGGTACTTAAGTTGACTGGTTTAAAATTGGACTTTTATTGTTGGGCCGATTTGTTGGGTTTGATAGCTTCATGTCAATTAGAGCATTCCTTATGTTGTTGAATACCAACCAAAAAACATAATCAAAAACTTGTCTGAGACCGCCTCATGGGTCTTAATCTATAAAACGGGTCAGATCTTTAATTAATAAAGTCAAAAATTTGACCCGTTTCACATATTAAGGCCCGTGAGACGGTCCTATAGAAGTGTTATCCAAAAGCATATGACGTTAAGTGTTAAGATTCAATTGAAATTTTGTATAGCAAGCATATTGCTTGCAATTGCAAGGTTGGATATATCAACTCTTGTTATGATTAGGGTTTCAGTTGCGTAAAAGTCAAATTCTATGAGCGTAACGTGAGTTAAATATGAATTAGTCCTAAAGTAATGGAGATGTCTTATACTCTTATGTTAAAAAAAAAAAATTGATAGATTTACTCCTTTTGTTTCATTTTAAATTTCTTATTTATTATTTATTGGTTAAACAAATTATTTGTTATTTACTTAATTTCATTATATTTTCTTATTATTTATTTTTTTTATTTAATAGTAATTTTAATATAGTTTTTAAATATATAAATGTTGTATGTGCTAATAATGAACTTAATATTATAAAAATTAAATTATAAATAATTTTAATTAAATCTTCTATTTATTTGTTGACACTCATAATTTTGGTAACAAACAAAAATGTCATCGTATTATATAGTAGTTGGCTAATTAAACGAGAGATATAAAATATAAGGAGTTTTTTTAAAATAATTTTAATTTTTTACAATGTAATATTTATTATATACTTTTCTCTACACTGGATTCGAACTTATGATCATCTACTTGGAATAATAATTGAGATGTGACCACACTACATGATAGTTGGTTATAAAGTGGGTTTAAAAAATGGAAAATTGAGGTTTAGAAGAAAAGGTAGTTCCGGGATTATAGGGATATCTTGGTTGGGGGGGACCATTATTAGGCTTACTAATGACAAGAGAAGAGAAATGCGAAAAACACAGTACAGTACACCATTGATAGTGTATCATAGAGATGTTTTCTCTCTCAAATCTAATTCATTCCTGGTCGGCAAAACTAAAGACCCGTGAATGTTGTAGTTGCCGAGCTTGTCGAGGAACAGACACCCTTACTGATGCCGTCATCATTCTCCAGTTTAATTGGATTTCAGTCAATCTAGCTAGCTAGCTACCTAGCTACCCTCCTGTCCACTCCAAACCTTAATCTAACCGATAATACAATAATACATTATTACTTGGATAATGATGGCTGGATCAATGTTACCGATATCTCAAACATCTACCATGCAAACAATCATAGCGTCATCCATACAATAATTCACCCTGCCCACTTATTAATACGGACTACTATTTATAAATTGGTCATACTTAATAATTACAAATTTTTAAATTTAATTATAGGTGGCAGCAACTTATTGGTATTTTTAGTTTGAGTTGCTTAGCTATGAACAAATTAAGTTGATTTACATAATTATTGTCATTTATTGGTTGGGTATGTAAATATCACAATTTTAGTTATAAGTATTACAATATTTACCATAAATAACAATTAATGTTATCATTCTTTTCAAAAAGTTGAATTCCCAACTAATCGTTATGTTGTGCAACCATTTCACTTTGGTGGAGTTATGGTGCTGTTAGTGGCACCGTTTAACTCCACCAATCAGTTTTTTTTTTTTTTTTTTATAACTCCACCAATATAAATATATAGTTCATTCATTTTAAATACACAGTACCAGTAACCAGTGTGGATATATAGTTCACTAATTCTGGATATATAGTTCACTAATTCTTGATATATAGTTCACTAATTCTGGATATATAGTTCATTAATTCTGGATATATAGTTCAAATTATGCACAGCATAACGCCGTTAAAGACAATCAAAAATGTGTTTTTTTTTTAAAAAGTCGGACGACGTCCTTTTTAATCAAAACGACGCCGTTTTGCAACAGTGCGCACCATGCATGTGCACACGGTTGCACGGCATAATTTGTGACCCTTTTCTCTAAGTATTATAATGTTTTCATAAGTAGCATTTAACATATAAGTATTACAATATTTACATTAGAATTAAATACACTTTGTAAGTACCACAATTTAAATTATAAGTATTACAATATTTATTATTAGAACCAATCATTTTACTGTAAATAGTATCATAATTTCACATATAAATATTACAATATATATTATAAATAATAATTTATTTATTTCAAATTGGTATTAAATCTTCTTTAAAACTTCGTAAGTATTATGCTTTATATCATAAGTAACAAGCAATTAATATATTAAGATATGTTAAACGGTCTCACACAAGTGTGACTTAATTTTTACAAAAATTATGAACAAAACTTATGTTGATTCACACTCATATATAATATACACACACATGACTAAGGAGATAAGTGATAATTTTTTTTTTTTACATCGTATGGAGGGGCAACCCCGAAAACTATAGAAAAGTGATAATTTGTAGTATGGTATTGTCGCGTGACTTTATAATTTTTGTGATATTAAGTAATTCAATATCTCCCTACAATGTCCCTACAATGTTATTTTACATTCTTAATCCTAAGGGTCCCCCGACCGAGCATGATCTATATCTATCTTACCCCAATCTAAGGGTCCCCCGACAGAGCATGTGGGAGGGTGTAAATCACAGGCCAAATGTCGGTGCACACAAAGAATCTGCCCACTTTGGACATAATTCTCACACTGCCGCCGCCAAAATTCGAACCTTGGTCTCTTACCTCAAATACTGCCCACTAAACCATTGAGCTAAACCCGTGCGGGTAGATCTATATCTATCTTTTTCACACACACAAAAGATCTATAACTATCCATGCAGATTGAAGTCGATCTGCCTGCTCCTGCAGGCAATGGAGAAATCAGATGGTGCAGCGCCGTACCGTTGGACAGCGATGGAACAGCTTCAATTGTGGAGATGAGCTAGCTAACGTGCTTCACATTCTCCACCATACCGCCCAACCTATGAACAAATTCAATAATTAGGCCTTTCACCAAACTCAATATAGGTTCATCCTTACGCATGATCGTAATTCGATTTTGATTATGAACCATCGGTTCACACTTCTTAAAAATGATAAATCGGAATTGACAGTTCCGTTTAAATCGCACAGTTCGAATCGTAATTTTTCTTTTTATATCTTATATTTTAAAAAAATTCCATTCTGAAATTTTTTTTTTTAATATTTATATCAAATATTTAAACTCTAAAGCTGAACTTTAAAAAAAAAAAAAGTCTGAATTTTTTTTTCCCCAGTTTGAAATTGGAACCAGCCGATTATGAACTGGAGTTGGTGGTTTCGGTTCTTAATTTTATCAACTCTATTCGATTTGAATGAGATGATTTGAATCGAATCTTGGTCATCTTACTACTTTGTTGTCTATAAAGAGGATGCATAGCTAATGAGTAGGAAATTAGTTTTGGAAGAAATAATACGTCCTACTCCAAAGATAATATATACACTTGTAATTAATGCCAATTCTTAGTCCATTTTATAGTGTACTTCCACTGCAAGGGTTCTGATCTCCAGGCATTTAATAGGGGATGAGTTATAAATATTTGGCATTATATTGATTGGATTTCTATGTTTTTTTTTTTCCTTTTTAAAAAAAAAAAAAAAAAATTGCCTATTGAGTTATTTGACTGGACAATTGAGTTTGGTAATTATAAGTTTCAGTTGGATTATCAGTTTGAGCCAATAATACTTTCTAATTAGTTATTTTATCAAGGTGAAATAGTCATTATTCTTATTAATATTGTTTTTTAGATGAAAAAATCTAAATGTTTTTGCCATAATTTGTAATCAAAGGTAATTTAGTAACTTTTTGATACCGCACATATTTATTTCAACTATTAACAATTATTATCTTCACTAAATACCCTAAACCTCAACTAATGCTTTATCCTCCATCCAATGTACTCAATTTAATTATCCACAAAGATCATCTCCAATGTGGAGTAGAAAGTAGAAACTTGTGGGTGTTGTTCAAGTTTTCACCCAAACAAATCAAATTAAAAATATAATTTTGTCATATCTATATTAGTACTCCGTATTGTTTAAGTTTTCATCCAAAATAATTAACTCTATATCTATTAGAACAATGGCTAGTTAAATACAGACACCACCTTATCAACTAATAATAAGGAACATTCTAATAAATTGGTTGGATTCTTGATTTAGAAATTACAAAGTCTCAAGTTAGAACAAAAATTTCACCTATTGGCCTCAAGTTAGAACATTCTATATATATATACACACTACAAATCTGATTAAAATTTCACCTATTGGTCATTGCGTCACTTCTCTCCTCTTTCATCCATTATTTCTTACAATAAAACATGAGAAGTAATTCGCCACACTTTTGAATTCAATTTTACCTTTATGTTATGAAAGTGTTTTTAACCAACTTCAACTCTTCTCATCAAAAGGCTCAATTTCTCATCTAACCTCACATATTTCAATTCCTTCTACATTATTCATTTCACTCCGACTCCTTATTGTCTAGCTAGTATTTAATTTGTAGTTCTCTTGGTATAATGTGTTGACTATACACGGAGTAATATATAAACATAAAAATACAGTCTAATTATTATCATAAATTTTTAGTTGAGATGAAACGCATCATTTAATTTAGTATCAGAGTTAATTCTATACATAAGATCATTGGGTTCAACGGTCCACGTCGTGTTACTTAAAATCCATAAAAATGTAATTAGCACACGTAGGCGAGGGGCCTATTGAGCATATATAATATATAAATATAAATGTGCAGTCCAACTATCAACTGTCCTGGTAACAATAATGTTCCAAGTGGGACTACTCCATGTGCATTTTTTTTT